TTAATCATATAATACAATTCATATCACAAAAGCATATACTTTACATGCAATATATTTTTATTGGTATCTCTTTGTTAGCCCATGTACATCTGTGAGAACTGTAGATATGTGAGTCTATTGAGTTTGTGCACTATACTATCACCACAGCTCGTATGGAGTCCTACTAGGGGCTATGAATTTTGTCCCGAAGGACCTATGTACTGTATTTGTCCCGAAGGACCACTCCTTAAGAACCATATGCATATTTCAATGATCACATATGTGTCTCACAAGACCCTGTAAATGTTCCAAAGAATACATATATGTCCCGAAGGACCGCGTAGAACCCTCGACTCTTGGCATACCAACTATACCTCTAGCTCTCTTTACACATAACATGGGCATTTTCACTTATATCATTTCACATATACATTTTCATATCACCTGTTCATATAAGCTCATAGCTTCTTTCACATATACATGTATACATATAGCTTCTTTTCATATAATTCATATCACTTTTCATATAATTCACATGTTCACATATAACACCTATGACTATATTCATGCATAAATAATAATCATATCACCCATATTAATATTCATAAAATCATGTAATCAAATGTTGGAAGTAGACTCATTGCGAGTCTTTTCCACACACATCATATATTAATGCATATGCACTCACCTTGGCCTCACTATGTTTTAATCCACTTTTTATGCTTTCATCTCTTTCGATCGAATCTTAACTTGATAATCGTTATGGAACTTGTTCGTGCTCGATATCTATATGATCATACATTGATACATATCAGCATACGAATTGATATATTTCAAACTATTAATTCTTAGGCTAAAAGAAAGCTATTTTCATCTCTTATTGAAGGTATGCATCGATGCACTACACCCTGTATCGATGCATCCCTTGACGGGTGTATCGATGCACTACCCATGCATCGGTGCATAAATCCTATTCGATATTTGTATTTTAAGCAGGTGCATCGATGCACTCCTTATGCATCGATGCACCTTCAATAAATTCTGGATTTTCTCTTGATGCATCGGTACACTTTGAATGTGCACCGATGCACTCTGCCCAGAATTCATATCTTGAACCCGAAAACTCATCCATTTCAGCTTAAATCTTTCATGTTTCATCCCCTTTTATATTCTTAACTCCAGTACACATACTTAAACCAATCTATACTCATTTATTTCATCTTAAACCTCATAATCCTATCCTCCTTCTTTGCAACATGATTTAATTCAACTTCTAACCCTTAATATGTCTTAACTATATTGATGACAAGTTAAATTTAACTTCCAATTCTATATATGAACTCTATTCCAAAATTTCATTCAAAAACCTCTAATCTTTAATCTCTTCTAACTCCATCATCCTTTGATTTTAAGATATCTAATAATCAAAACTCAATCTTAAATTTAACAAGAAACTCAATAATCAGAAAATTCACCTTTATTTTGCTTTACACGTACAAGGAAGAAAAAAGAATAAGAGAACTCTGGAAGCCTGTGGTGTTCTCTCCTTTCCCACGTGGTTTCTTTTCTTATAAATGGAATATCAAAATCTTACTTGTCAATTTACCATTTTACCCTTTAATTCATTCAATAATTACTAAATAACCTTCATCATATTTCCAATAAATCATTGAACTATTCAATTATCCTACTTTAATCACCAATTTTTGAAACTTTACAATTTGGTCACTAACCTGGTATTGAGGATGTTACATCTATATAATCATACATTGATACATATTAGTATCCAATTAATATACACTAATCTATCATTTCTTAGACCAAAATAAAGGTATTATTCTATTTTCCCTTGAAGTGCATCGATGCACTACCCATGCATCGATACACAAATCACTTTCGATGTTTTCATTTTAAGGGGGTGTATCGATGCACTCCTTATGCATCGATGCACTAATTGCATTTGATGTTTCCATTTTAATGGGTGCATCGATGCACTTCCTGTGCATCGATACACACTGAACAATTTCTGGAAATTTACCCTTGATGCATCGGTACATGATGAATGTGCACCGATGCACACTAGCCCAGAATTCCGATTTATGCCCGAAAATCCACTCTTTTCAGCTTAATTACTTCATATATCATCCCCTTTCTTATTCTTAACTTACATACTCATATTCAAACTCATTTATATTCATTAATCACCTCTTTAACATCAAAATCCTATTCTCCATATGTAATTCAAGAATTACACTAAATTTTCAACATGTTCCAAATTCAATTCTATTACTTCTAACTTCTTAATTAGACCCTTGACAAGTCAAATTCATCCTTAGAACTTCAAAAACCTTTTTATAATAAAAGTACATTTATAAACTCTTAATAAAAATTCCTTTCTAATTCTCTCTTCTTGGTGTTTTAAACTTATATAAGATTTCCTTAAGCTTATATAATCCCCAAAGACTCAAATCCAACTTAAAAAATTCAAGAAGTCAACAGATAAATCAAACTTACATTTTCTCTTGGCTTCCACGTGAAGAAAAAGAAAGGAGAAGAAGAGAACTCTAGAGAAATCTCTCCCTTTCCACGTGGTTCCCTTTTCTTATAAAAGAAGAATAAAAATCTTACTTGTCAATTAACCATTTTACCCTTTAATTCATTCAATAATTACCAAACAACCTTCAACTATATTTCTAATAAATCATTGAACTATTCAATTATCATACTTTAATCACCAATTTCTAAATTTTTTTAATCTAGTTACTAACCCGATATTGAGGATGTTACAGCCTATATGAATATGTGATATGAATGTGATATATGGGAATCATATGAGAACAAGAGATGACAATGATTTACATGTCATATGAACACAAGAGAAGTGTTATAAGAAAAGTGACATATGATTATGAAATCATATGAAAAGTGAAATATGCATGTTAATGTGTGAAATGATATAAATGATAATGCCCATGTTATGTGATATGAGAGCTAGTGGTATAGTTGGCATACCAAGAGTCAAGGGTTTACCTATGTTCTACGGAATATATAAACAGAATTACCTATGTCTTTCGGGACATATGAACAGTATACCTATGTTCTAATGAACATATAGACAATTTACCTAGGTTCTTCGGGACCTATGGACAGTTGCCGAGGTTTTGTATGACCTTTGGATAGGTCATTCGGGACATTTATACGAGCTGTAGTGACAACATAGTGGTGCACAACCTCAATGTACTCACATACCTTAAGTTCTCAAAAGTATACATGGGCTAATACATGAGATTTAAAGATAATAAATAACTTGATATGATAATATGTGTGCTTTATTGTGAAATGACATGAATGCGCGATGGTGAGTATAGAAAGGTTCAATATATGCTTACATGATAAAAAGTAATTAGTGATAGTAATATGAGTACTGATAAGTATGTTAATGATATATGTATATGTGTGCATTGGTTATACAATGAGAGATATGCTTTTATATGATATGATAGTATTAATTGTTTATGCATTGATATGAGTAGAGTAATATCATATGTTTTCATGCTTCACTAAGTCAATGACTTAGCGTGTGATTGTTTCACGCGTAGGTTCCGAGAAGAGGAAGATTGGTAAAAGTTATGCAAGACAGGTCAGTTTCTCCTTTCCAAAGGTCAGATAAGAAAATGTATATTATGTATTTTGTAATAATGATAGTGGTTGGCATGTAAATAAAAGTTTGAATCCGATATGTTCTAATCGGTTTTGTAAAATCATACGAATGAGTTTTGTAATGTTTTAAATGTATATATGTAAAGGGTAATTTTATACTGCTGAAAGTTTAAGTTTTTATGAATTTATACGTATTTTGCTGAAATTATTGTAGCAGTGCATCGATACACAATTTATATTCGAAATTTTCACTGTTCACAGTACTGTTCATGGTATTGTTCATACCGTATAATATTATTCATAAATACGTTTTTGCCTTAAATTTTTCTAATGAATCATAATTTAATAGTATTTTATTGTATTTTCTTAATACAAGTTCAAATATTTTGTTATCTTACAAGAATATTGTTTCAAAAAGTCAATGTGACATCTCGGACTCGTATTCGGGTCGGATACAGGTTGGGGTGTTACAGTTTTATTATAAAATATTTAAAGAATAATTACAATTACAATAATAAAATATTTATATATAAATTTATTATTTTTTAATCAGTGATGGAGTGAGGAGAGTGGATGGCGACTATCGTTTTTTGAAAATTCAAAATTACCATATATTTTAGATTTATACATAAAATATATATTTTTATTAAAAATTTATTTTCAAAATTCATCCGTTAACATAAAATTTTAAGTCAATTTTTTTAATCCTGTTAACCAAAACTGGCAGTCTCCTCTTAATAATCAGATTATGCGGAGGAGAGAGAAATGGAAAAACATTTTGGATGAGGAAGACTTGATACTTGAAATTGTTTTCTCTCTCCTCCACACCCAAACAGTGAGTTTTCACTATATTGAATCCAACTAGACAATTTTCTTAGGGATAGAATATTATTATATTATATAAAATTATTTTAATTTAAATAGATTTAAAACTATTAGATAAATAAAAATAGATGATTAATATTAACATTAAGAAATAAAAAGATATTCATTAGAAAAAATTTAATCTTACTCATTTATTTTCACTTATTCAATAATATTAAATCTGTATAAAATAAAAAAAAACGTTTTACCTTGCATCATTTGTTATATATATATATATATATATATAGTGTGAACCTGTAAGAACCAAAAAAACAAGTAGAAAAAAAAAGGAAAGATAAAAGTAGGTTAAAGGTACAGGTTGAAAATCATCATTTTTATTCTTCTGGTAAAGTTTGGTTCCCTGCAATCCTTCAGTCCAAATATTCTGAAAACGGTTTCCTTAACAAATCAGATATCCACTCAATGGAAAATCAACAAAACACTAAACACAAATCCCAAGATGAACAAGAAGACAACGAAATAAATCACCTTTATTTAGCATCATGGAAGGTTACACTGATAAAGTCATTTCTCCATTATCTCACTTTTCACCATTGAAACAAGAAGAAGATCAGCTTCCTTCTTCAACAGCCGCCGCCATTGTTGGTGGGGCAAAGGATTCGACCCAGAGTTTGAAGAAGGAAAGAGATAGGAGATTTAAGATGGCTGAGAGTTATGATATTCTTCTTTCCATGGTCCCTAATCTCTACCCTAAGGTCATTTTCTTTCTTGATGATTGCTTCATTTCTACTCTGCAAGCTGTTTGTTTCACTTCCATTGTTCTGGTGAATATTTGTTTATATTTCACTCGAAGAATTTGTTGTTGGGTATATATATAGATAGTCCATGTTCTTGATTTTTGAAAGCTATTTTGAAATTTCTTTTCATAGAAGCCTGCGGATTTTGATGATCACATCGCCCAAAAATGATGGTATTTCTTAAATTTTTCACTTTTTTTCTTCTTTGTTTTGATTTTTTTGCTTTTAGGCCACAAGAGAGAACATTGTAAGTGAAACGATTGCATACATCCAATCACTCGAAAAAGAGATAACAAACTTGGAAAATCAGCTCAACAACTCATCATATGGTGAATCAAAGGGAATCAAACATGAATTATCATCGATATCCGGACTCGAATTCGTCGATTGATGTTACCGTGTCAAGAAACAATGTCGCCTTCTTTGGGATTCAATCGCCGGTAAGACCGAGACTTTTGACGGACATTTTCATGGTGTTCCATGACCATAAGACTGAGGTTTTGGCGGCAAATGTTGCTGTTAATCAAATGGAATTGAGATTAACTGTTACAGCTGCTGTTATCAATGGAAATGTAGATGCCATAATTGAGAGCATCAAAAGAGATTTACTAATTCTATAGGGATTTTAACTTTCTTTCCTTCATTTATTGATGTTAGCATCTCTAATACACATTCCTAAAAAGTAGTTGAAAAATGTTTAAAAATTCAAGAAATTTATCTTTGTTGATAATATTCTCTTTGTTTATATATATAACTCCGATATCATTTCTTAGTAGACTCGCTCACCAAAATCAATTGTGCGATACAGGTCGGTCCAAATTAGTCAACAAAGCACTGGGAAACTTGGAGGGCAACCAGAAAGAGGTTGCAATTGGTTATATAAAAGAATTTAGCAAATGTGTAATTATTTAAAGGAAATTGGATAACGTTTTAGTTTGAAACAAAAATATTAAATACTATGTAATAAATCATGGAAATTGCATAACTATTCTTGTTATAACTTAAAAGATATTGTCAAGAAACTCATGTAACATTCTCATTATAATCAAAATTATTTTAATTATGTAACTTTTTAGAATATACATGATAACATTATATGTTGAAATTTGTTGAAATGTAACCTTATCGGTTGAAATAGAAATTATTAACAATTGCATGATTTTTAGAATAATATCTTAATATTTTAAGTTAAACCCCACGTGTTATTATAAATGTATAAAAAGTAGTGAACGAAAATTATGAAAGGATTATGCCCAGAAAAAGAGGGTTTAGCCAACCATGAATGACATTATCAACCATTGCATTTTCTTTTTCCTCGACTCCGAATTGAAGAAAAGTTTAACCTGAGAAAATTCATGAGAAAGATATGAAAACGCCACAGTAATTTGAATCATATGCTATAGTGATACATAAACAATACAATGATGAAATACAAGTTTAAATGATCAAACATGTAGCCAAGAATTCGTCTTCGGATTTTATGATTAGACGCACCCGCCTTAGATGCCTTGAGCTTGCTTGCTTCATTCCTCGGCCATGATCTTTTCAATGCGGGAGTACCGGAGGGGCGATCATGCGAGTATTATATGATTTACAATGACTGCATTTCTGCCCTATTATGTGGAAGTAAACTTCGGTTGTGTCGTTACAGTCATTGCATAGGATCCAAACCTGCATTCAATTGTTAAATCGGTTACGATAAACATGATTGGAATATACAGCAATGGATTCCGATATGAATAAGAAGCACGGTATGCACCTTCTTGTGCCGGTAGTCCTCTGGCATTGCAGTTGCTTCGATCTAACAGCAAACAAGATAATTTTGTTGTGAATCAGCTTGGACAAAAAAGAGAATGAAGCAACTAAATCAAAGACAATGCTGTCAACTATGAGTATTTAGAGTTTGATGAACTTAAAATCGAAGAAGCACTACCTCTTCGTCTATCCTCTTCCAGGTTCTAGACATATCGATTACTGACTTTGAGCATATCGGACAACAATATCTGAGGAAACACCCGAGTTAAATTCGGAAGAAAAATGAAAATAATTAACCTTATACAAGACTGAACTCATCGTCACTCACTTGTCTCGCTTTATCATCTCATAGTAACATTCGCAGTGCATTGTGTGACCACATTTCATTACGGTGGTATCTTTCAACGAATCAAATAGGTACTGGATAAACAAAATGGACTATTTAAGCATATATGAATGAATATCAAGCACAATTGCAGAAAGTAGAAAAGATGAACCTCATAACATATGGGACAGTTATGCCGCATCGAGTTCTCCACGCAAAAATGATTATTTCGCAATGCAAGGGAATAGCAGGATCCTGCACAGTGGCGAAAGTATGTATAGTTATCATGCGGTGCGAATAGATGTGCCCTTAAAAGAGATGTTGTTGGTAAGGATGGAATTCAAATGTTTAAGTGCCTTCTTCTAACTCAATCGATTGAGGCTTTCGACGACTTCCCGTCAAACAGCACAGTTTTAAATCAAACTAGAAGAATCTAAACATGAAATAGAGCTCATAAGCATAGCATGTAAAAACACGAAGGATGGTGAAAGCGGATAACCGGAAAGTCGGAATAGTTTTGAGATAACTCGTATCATGAAACGAGAAACACAAATTACTGAATATAGCTGATTCGAATTGAACAATCAGTTATTCACATACAATTCACCATGAATACCATCCTAAAGTAAGAAATGGGATTGAATCTAAGATCTTTGAACCATACATGATAAGGTAAGAAATTGGATTACTGGTATCAAGTACGTACCACACTTTTTGCAATGAAAAAAGTTATCCCGACTGCCAACTCTGTATCGAAAACCATTCGAGTAAGTCTCTCATCCATTGAATTCAAGTAATCAAGAGGAAAATAATAGTCATACGTGCTTAAAACTTGGCAACTAACCTGCAGATCCCACACTCATGGCAATGGAAGTGCTCTTTCTCAATCTGCATCGGATGAAATCGAGAGGTAAACATCAAGGGAAAGCAAGAAACAGTTTATAAGAATCAGATCAAGGATACAAAATCAACGATTCCTTACATTCCTTACATTTTAAACTAAACCGATAGATGAAAAAATTGAAATGACAAAGTTTATCAACTATTGCATTAGTTAAATATTGGGATACACACACACACACACACACACACACACACATCATCATCATAGAACTTGCAAATTTCACAAAAGTATTCTCCCATATTGACGCCACAATTTGAACAAAGTTTAGCAACCTAAACAAAGAAAAGAAAATCAAAATTGAGAAACACAAAAAAGGGTTCATTTGTGTCTTCAAAAAAATGGAATCCAAAACACAAACCGGCTGCTCTGTGTCACAAACCGAACAAATAACCTAATTGGGAGGGGGGAAACATATCATTAGCATGATTAACTTGGAAACAAGAAAAAGGCAATAAACTGAAAGCCACGATTTAAAATTCCATACTTGTTCAACGTCCTGACGAAAAATGTCGTGCCAGTCTGAAGGGTTCTTTAACAAGTTCTTAAGAACAATACAATAAATACCCAGATCAAGAAGTTGCATAACAGTCAGAAAATTGCGAACTTTTAGCTTTAAAACAGAGAAATAAACAGTGGAATGCAAAAGAAATGTTGAAAACAAATACCGATGCCTCGTTATGGCAATGGCGACACCAGAAAACCTCGTTGCAACATGGAGCTCGATCTTACATCTCCTCCTATAATGTTTGCATCTAAATGAACCCCAATAAAAGGAAACAAACCCAATGAATCATAGATGTAAAAGAAGCCAAAACAATGATAATAAGGAGAAGGAGAAAGAAGAGTACCCATATCCCATCTTCCCAAAATGAAGGCGTTCATTGGCCAAAGAGGCTTCCGTCTCCATGAGAATTGGAAGAAAACAGAATTTTGTTCTTTCTCTCTTATGGCTTTTGTTTTTCTCCAGAGGAAACCCAGAAAGAGGGGGTTTCCTGATTTGGGAAGATGGATAGTTTATTGATTGTCGTGTTTCTTTAAAATGTACAACAGAGGCAATGCCTCTCGTTTATATTATTATTTGAGTATATTATATTTCTTCTACTCACTGACTTGTAAGTTATTTGTATTTTGATCATTACAATCATTACTATTTCCTTAAAATCAGTGACTTAAGAAATATTTTCATTTGATCATTATGCACCCATATTTAACAATAGTTTGAGTGAGCATATCCACTATCATCATTTTATTTTGATTATTATGCAAAGATATTTAACAATAGTTGAATCGATATATTCGTTCACTCTATTGCTGCTAGAAAATATAGGATAATATACACAAATGGTCCCCTGACTATAGAGTGGTGCTTTATTGAGCCTCGACTATTAAAATTATAAAATAGTCCATTGATTATAGGATATTACTCTATTGAATCCCTCGACTATTAAAAGTTACAAAATGGTCACCTGACTATTCATATGTAGGGATGGCAACTCAACCCGAATCCGACGGGTTCCGACCCGACCCGATCGGGTCGGATTTTTTTAAAAAAATTTCGGGTTCGGGTCGGGTCGGTTTTTTAAATGTACTGTTCGGGTCGGGTCGGTCGGGATTAGGGTGAAAAAATCCGACCCGACCCGACCCGAAAATATATAATTTTATCCTATATATTTAGGGATAATTACAATAATGTCCCTCCATATATAATTTTTTTCAATTAAGTCACTGTTTTCATTGAATAAAATTTTTTTTATTATTATTTCGGGTCGGGTCGGGTCGGGTTTAAGTCATATATTCGAGTCAGGTCGGGTCGGGTGAAACCTTAATTTCGTCGGGTCGGGTCGGGTCATGGGTGAAAAACCCTTTCTTCTCGGTCGGGTCGGGTGGCCCAAAACCCGACCCGACCCATTGCCATCCCTATTCATATGTTCCAAACTCATCATTTTTGTGAAAAATTTGAAGGCAGTTTGAGCTAGATATTAATCTACTTACTAGAATATGATAAAATTTGATCTTAATATCTCAAACAACTATCTTATCCCAACTAGCACGTTCACACAACTCAGACAACCGTCATTTTTTAACGAAAAAAGACGATTTGGAATATATGATAGTTTGGTAACTATTTTGTAATTTTTAATAGTTTAGGGACTTAACATAGCAATACTCTATAGTCGAATGACCATTTTACACTTACCCAAAAATATAAAATATAAATGATGATGATTGAATTCGAGATCTTAAGAGGGATTCGATCCTATTATTACACATTCTAAAACTTATTATAACATAAATAAAAAATTTTATGTTAAATGTGATCTTTCATTTATTTATATGAGAAAATTGTTAATATCGATTATAACATCAAGTGAAATATATATCTTTAAATATTTTTGTAATTTATGCT